CTGTGTAACTATCATTTTATTTTTGTGTAACATTCAGTGTAAGTTTTAGGATTGGTACATTTAAAGATTTAAGGTGAAAAGCCTCTCTCAGACATAAGAGCTCTATGTATAAAGTTGTACAATATGCTTCCCTGCTTGTCTGCATTGGATATGGAGTTGGGGAGGGCTAAATCCTGTGTTAGGATTCGTTCATACATTTTCCTGGATCTAAACACGTATGAACAGTGGGGAAAATATTTAACCCCATCCTTACTTGGTTTTAACCTTCAAAACAAAATCTATTCATTCATCTCAGAAAAATGAGGTGATAAAAAATGCATGTAAAGATAGTAACAAAGCATTTTAACCTACAGGTTCAAGTAAGCACGCTTCCAAAAACAGTTCACGTAGATTTGTTCTGAGTGAAATTATTTTTATTGAAAACATTTAAGGTGAAACACACAGAGAAAAGATTGGCTGATGTATAAAGAATATCTCTTATGGGGTATCAGAAAAGACTGAATTAAACTGGTGTGTACTTAACTTATCTAGTAATATGTGTAAAAATGGGTAAATAAAACAATAATGAAACATTAACATTTTGCAGACATCAGCAAGGACAACAAAATAATATTAAATAGCCTGAATCAGTTCACAATTCTAGTAGCAAATAAAACTGGAATCAGTTGAGGCAATGAGTAGGGCTGTGCGAGTCTTCGAATCACACTTTGGATCCAGTGCCGCTTTGGACACATCAGCGTTTGAAGCGGCATGCCTGGATTGAAATGTGGCCTCAGTTAAGCTGTCCGAAGTGGTTCGGAAATGCTTCAGATAGCTTAACTGAAAGTTAGAGAAGGGAGGGGGAGTGGGGGAGGAGGGGAAGCAGGGGGGTGGGGGGAAACTGCCATCTGTGGCTGGCCAGTGAGAAGGATTTTCTTCTGGCTGCCTTTCCAATGACAGTGTCTGTGGGGTGGGACTAGAAACAGCAAAAAAGCCTCTGTTTGGAGGCATGCTGTGCCTTTTCCAGCTTGTTACCTGTTAGGAACTGTGTGAGGGAGGAACGCTCAGACTGAGGCATTGCAGCTTGCTGGCTGTACTCAGTAGTTGAACTTGCCTGCTCCTTTTTCTTGTTACAAAGGATTGGGTAGGATTTAGCTTATCTTAGCTATTCTATTCAATTACTATTAGTATTACTATTCAATTCATTTCTTTGAATTTATATTTGCCCTTTTTTTTTTTTAAGAAACTTTGAAAAAAGTAAGCTGTGTTTTCCTTGCCAGTGTGATCCATCACTGTGCAGGGAGGCACACAGATTGCTTGCACACATGCACACACACAGACACACAGATACACAGACACAGACCAACAGAATATAGAGAAAAATCAGATATTCATAAGAGAAGATGACAGACAGACAGACAACACACAATTTTTACATAACTCTTAACACTGTAGCAAACAATCAAAGAGGCCAGTGCACGCATGCAACAGAGGGAATAAAACGCACAATACAAAAGGATTCACACACACACACACACACACACACACACACAAACCTTCTGCAGCACAGGAAAGATCAATATGAAGCGTGCTGGAAAGGCAGGTGCAGGTCTTCTGGCAGGGGAGTGAGAGGGGGTAGGGGGAGAGCTAGAGCTGTAAGCCTCACCCCGCCCAAGCACAGACACTTTCTCTTCCCAAGCAGCCATGACATCGATGCTGCCAGTGGAAGCCAGGCGGTGGGAGCAGTGTCTGCACCTGATGTCCCTGCACCTACACCACCTCTGTTCAGTCCAGAAGTGGGCACCAGCAGTGGAATCACTGTCTCCTCCACCCCAATTTCAGCTCTCAGTGTGAGCCTCCCACGGCCAGAGGAGGAGCTGGCATTGGAACCGGGGATGCTGAGTGCACTGGCTCAAGCAATTCTGGGGACTGAGGGGGAATCTGAATTTGTGCTCCACTCCCCTCAAGTTTCCTCTAGACCCAGGTCTCCTCTGGAAAGCAGCACCTCGGAGGAGGCTGAGGTTTTGGAGGCAAGTGGCTCAGCTGAGGCAGCTCCTTGTGCTTGGATCCTACGTTGGTGGAGCAGTTGGTGTTCCTAAAGGTGACCCTCCCGCTGCTGGGGTTCCCCAAGCTCCACCTGCAGACAGACCGAGTGCCACACTCCTCACTCCGTCTGCACATATTTTCTTCTTTGAGTTTTCTAAAAGCCAAGTAATGCCCACTTTCAGCTGGAGGGAGCACTAACTGCATCACCAGCCAGCAGGGGAAGAACATGTACTTGCTGAGCTCATTCCCCTGCCAGGATGAACTTGGAGGTATGGGATTGGGGCTATGAGGAAGAAGGAAGCCCCAGGTCCTGGGCATGACCACTAAAACTGCACCCTGCCAGGGTAGGGAGGCCTGGTGGGACTGCTGGCAGTGCAGCAGCCCCGTAAATGCCAGCACCAATGATCCCCTGGTGAAAGGCAGGTAGGAGGCACCATAACCTCGAGCTAACGCACACACGCACAAAGTCCTGGCTGGGGAACACTCAGACCTGTCACATCTTTGACAGGCCTGACACTTGCTGGTTGCAGTGCAGTTGTGAGGCTCCTGGTGAGCTCAACTTAGCTGTTCAGGATGTCAGCTTTAGAGGTGTCAGGGGGTGAGGGATAGGCTTGGGTGGGGGGTAGGGGGAAAAAGGGGATGTAGCAATTCAGGTAAAAGTACAGAGGTGCCTGGGGTGTCAGATGTCCAGCAGGTAGCAGTGTGCCAGAACTCTACTGTGTATATTGAGTTCATGAGTTTCTGTACATATTACCTAGGAGACTGATGAAGTGCAGTTCATAGGCCCAGCTCTGAAAAGTGGTTTGCATTGTAATTTGTTCCCTCTCAGGATCAGGCGTGGGAGACTGGAAGCAGAGTGTTTTTTTGGTGAGGAATGTGCCCTCACAGATAGTTGGGCTTTGTTGTCTTGCATCAATTCTGGTGTGTAGTTTGTGGGGGTACTGGAGATAGTTGGCAGGTTTTGTGTTTTGAACTGTAGGAAGTTGGCTTCCGTTCTGGTGATGAGGTTAGGTGCTTGTTTGAATGTACAATGGAACCATGGACTATACTTCCTGGCACCACTTAAAAAGAAAAATTAATCTTTTGTCCTTTTTGTTATGTCCTACCAACCTCTTACTGCCTGAATGTAACTGGTCACAATATCCAGTAACTTCACAGAAAAATGGGCGGAACTGTATGTGAAGGAGTGAGAGAGAACAAGCAAAAGCCTGGAGGTGCCTTACATGCTGGGCAGGGGAGGCTAGGAGAAGAAAAGCAGCTGGCAGCAACAGACAGAGAGAGTGAAAACAAACAACACTCACAGCATGGAGGGTGGGCAGGGCTGCAGCTGGAGACCGGAAGGGAAGAGAAATGTTCACCACACATCCGGAGCAGTATCTCACTCCAGATTGGAGGAGGGAGGCTGCCGAGAGGTATTTCTGGCCACGGAGTGGGGCAGAGGGGAGTCAGTTCTCTGCAGGCTGCAGTGAGAGAGGAGTGGCCGAGGGTCTGGGCAGACAAGGGTTGCAAAGCTTGCCAGAGGAAGGCCACCCACACACAAAATGGCAGCAGGGGTTAGAGAGGCTTGGTGCAGGGGCTGAAGTCCACTAGGAGAAAGACAGAGAGAGAAAGAGAGTCCAAATTGTAGGAGGAGGTGTGCAGGTAATATCTACCTATCCAGGCTGGATGGGGTCCTTGTCTAGTAGGTGTTGTCCAGAGGGGGGTCGCTGGCAGGGCCTCTGGGTGGATAGGTGGTATGGCATGGCGCTGGTCCAGATGGAAATGGCATTCCCACTGGGTCTGTGTCTGTCTTCACTGCCCCTTTTTATAGGGGCAGACCTTGTGTGACCCTAGTGACAGGAGGCATGCCCAGGCAAGGGTCAGCCCCTGGTGTACTGAGCATGTGTGCTCCATGCAGGGATGTGCAGTTTCTGGTGTCTGTAATGGTGGGAGTTCCTGGTTTTGCAGGGTCCTTTGTCTTTCAAATGCTGGTCTTGTCTCTGTTCCTGGGTGAGGTCCGTGGTTCCTGGGTGAATCAATGCAAGGTGATAGCCCAGTCATTACAGGCCATTCAGCAGAGGCCTGCTACCATTGTATTTCAATCATTCCCAATCACACTCATTCATCGGGGAACCAATTTACATGGGAGGGATACATGACTCGTACAGTTGCAACATGCCCAGAAAGAGGACAGAAGATGGAGACTTGACATATAAAATGGTAACTTGACATGACTTTGGTTCACTTACAAACACAGGCCTAAACCATACACTATCCATATGAAACAATAAAAATCAGTATGAAAATGATAATAATACAATATACAACAGTAAAAATCAATACAAACCTAATAATAATACAATATAAAATGGTGGATATCCAAAACCAAAAACTTGCTACCAAAATAAAATTTTTTAAAGTTTATCCTACATCTTAGCTTACTTATACTTATCTATAGGGAAAAGAGAGGGAGAGAAAAAGTCAGAAATGATTGGGGAAGGGGAGGGAATGCATTTTGAAATTAAAAAAAAAAAAAAAGGAACTGGGGGTTTTGCTACACCTCCTCCACCCAGGCCTCACAGAACAGCTCCCCCTGGGTCTTGAGGATATTATGAAACATACAAGCTGTGATGATGACCCAGGAGAAGTTGCCCTCGGTGACCTTGAGGCAGGCGGTGAGGCAGCACAAGAGGCCCTTGTGGCGGCCGAAGGCCCACTCCACCAGGGCACTAGTCCGACCGAGATACCTGTTAAATTGGGCCTGCAAAGGTCCAGATGGCCGGTGTAGGGCCACATAAGCCAGGGCAGAAGTGGGTAGGCAGTTTCCCTGATGAGCAGGGGCAGGATCATGATAGGGCCGAGCTACAAATCCAGCATGCCTGGCGCAAAGTGCCCACTCTCCATGAGTGGGAATGGAGGCTGGAGTTGTGGGAGCTGCCCGCACAGCTGGTGCTTATGTGGGTGAATGTACCATGGTGGCCCACAATGGTCTGCAGGACCATGGAGTGTAAGACCATGGAATCAGCAGTAGTAGGAGCAGTCTTCATGGAGTGGCCAGGTGACGGGGGTGTGAGTGCTGTCCAGTGCCCTGATACACTCAGGGAATCCCAGGGCACAGAGCCCTGCCACCACCACCAGGGGTTCATGGACACAGAGTATGTTGTTCCTAGCACATCATGGAGGGCCCTGTGCACCTCCGGTATAGCCTCCCCAGAAGTGGTCTTGGCCATGCCAAACAGGTATCCAATGTACCAGAGGCAGGCAGGTGTGGTCAACTTCAGCACGGTGAGGGCCAGCTGGGTGTCTGTGGGGAGGGCTGGTGTATGCTGGTGTGCTGCTGCTCCAGGTGGGCTAGAGCTGTTGGAGCAGGTCCCAGTAGGTGGTCTGGGTTATGAAGAAGCCATCCAGTCACTGCTCATCATCCCAGGTGTGCTAGACGATGTGCAGCTACCAGAGCTAGATTAATCCTTTAGTGGGCCCTAGACCAAGAAACTCATGGGTCCTGGGCCGGTTGAGACCCACCTCCACACCCTGGTGCTGCCGCCCACGGGGAGTGGTGCTTGGAGCCACTGCTAGGAAGCAGTCACCATGGCAGTGAAGCTGGCGGAGGGGAAGGGAAGGGAAGTGGATGGGGCCATTCAGTTGCCATGGAGCAAAGGGCCTGTTCCCCCAGCAGCTCAGGGCCCTAGGCATGTGCCTAGTTTGCCTCTGCGTTAATCTGGCCCTGGCAGCCACCCATGCTGGCTGACTGAGCAAGCCAAGTGGTGAGAAGGTGGAGGCCAAGGAGAGTGATGGTAGCCCTGGCGGTAGCATTGTGGAACCCCTCCCTGGTGTCCCTGGTGGCGGCAGTGGCACAGTGGTGGTGGCGGCCCTAGGACAGCAGTCAGTGCTCAAGCTGGTGGGTATATGGGGGAGCTGGGTGGGGCAAAACAGACATTGCCCAGGCAGCGGTCAGTTCAGTGCGCCAGTATGGCCAGCACGAGCACGGGGTGCTGGTCATTGCTGCCAGGGGCAGGGGCTGGAGCAGCCATAGCATGGGAAGGCAGAGTAGCCAAAAAGAGAGCTTCCATATCCTGTTCTTGCACTTGGCACACTGCTCGTGGGCAAGGAAGGGGCTGGTTAGAGAGTGGTGCTGACTTTTGAAGATGGCTGCCAGGTGCTGGCAGCTGCAGCCAGAACCTAAAGCTCCCCATGGTGCCAGCAGGGGCCCATTGCAGGGCTGCAGGAAACTGGGTGCAAATCTGCTCTCTAATCCCCGCATGTGTAGATGCCTGCCTGAAAGGGCTTACACCAAATTAGTTTACACCAGTGTAAGCTTAGGCTGGAGTTATTGAATGTGTAATCACACCCAGCAGGTCAGACTCTGTTTTGTGAGATGCCTACACGTGCTCCTGTTCCACTCTGCTCAAATCCTGGAAAAATGTTAATGCAAAAGGCAGATGCATCTTCCTCTGGCTCACTGCTCTGTATAACTCATACACTGTAAGATGACAGTGTCCCACAATTTTTTTCAGGGATAGAATAAGGTTGCACGTAGGTGCCTAAATCCACCTTGGTGCTAATAGATGGAATAGAACCTGGCCCACTGTGACTATAATTTTTCTTACCGCATTGCTTGCAGCGCCAGCAAACGAGGGTGCTGTTATACACTGTATCAACATGTTGCATGATACTACCCAAGCCTGACAAGTTTGCAATCTAAAGCATGGTAACTAATATAAACATGCTTAGGCTGTTCCATTTACATATCTTTTTGTGAGACTCAGAGGTACCAAAATACCATGTCATTGTTTATATATCTAAATAGAGGGAAGGTTACAGAAAGAGAGAGATGATGAGGTTCACATAGTGAATTCAACATGCCCTTTCTTTCTATGTTTCTGTTCCTCCTGTTGACTGCTGCTGTAAAATGGAATGCTGATATCAATCATGGCAGCATCCTTTCATTTCTCAACTCTGGGTAGAATGCCTTATTCATCCACTGATTTTTCATTAAATAGGACTGTCCATCACTGTCCACTAAGAAAGTATCCACATTTGCTATTCTCCAGAAATGAGCAATGAGGAGGTGACTTACACAGATGTGAGATTTCACTCTTCTTCACAGGAGAGGAGGAGCCAAAGATCTCAGAAGTCTGAAAAGAACCAAAGGCCTCAGAACAATGAGAGCAAAGGTACTGTAATGAGTGTTACCAAGAGGCTACCCTGAATTCTCTTCTACTGCCCATAGCCAAGCTTCTCCCCCTACTCTAAAACCTAACACTATTTTTGGAATGCAAAGGGGGAAAAACATACCTCTGCAATGTTACCTAGTACCATGTTACTGCGAAGCCTGAAGCATCTAGGATGTTGGTCACAGAGGGTGCATCTACGCATGCTATTAATTCAAAGTAGGCTTACTGCACAGTAAAAATGATCACACCTCTGTTCAACCTCACCGATTACGGTACTGCCACAGTAAGCCTACTCAGGAGCACATCTAAGCCTACCCAGCCTACACAGTAAGCCTACCCAGGAGCACATCTACACAAGTTCCCTTTTGGGAGCAGATTTTCCTCCACCCTGCTCTACCCCACTGTAGCAGCCAGTGGAAGCTGCAGGAACTGCCTGCTGCTGGGGAAAGTGGACACTGTATGGCAAGTGGACATTGTGGGACAACTGCCTGCTACAGAGGCAAGTGGACATCCTCTCCAAGAGAGAGAATTGTTCTCCTGCCCCCTGCTGCCCAGGCAGCCTGGAAGCATATTTACTTCTGGTCAGGGTCTACACATGAGCTACTGTGCAGTAACTACAGTGCGGTTAGTTTTGCAGGGTGCCAATTGTCACAACCCAAAGTTGTGATTTTTTGTTTGTGTGTGCTTCGGCGCCGCTAAATTGTGTTCCCGCTAAATTGCAGCTTCTTTGCACGGTAGAGTTTTCTGCTGCAGAAGAGAACCCTGGTGCAAAAGAGTATTCCTGCCAATTTGTAGCTTTCTTTGCATGGTGCATTTCTTTTTGCATCTAAGAAATGCTCGGTGAAAGGAGTTCCCGCCATTTGTATTTAGATTCGAGCCACATTATTGGTTTACGCGAAATTATGCACACGTGATGGCTAGCGATTGGCTTGCTAGCCGTATAAAGAGCTTGGGTGGTTTCCGCCCAAGTTGGAGAGAAAGCAATTGGAGTTCGAGAGAAAGAGCGTGAAGGTCTCTAAGCGCCGCGGAGCCTCACAAACCCAACACTTTTCTTAAAACGCAATAGAGGCCGAATAACCGAACCTGCGGAGCCTAAACCACTCCGGGGAAAAGAACGAACAGCCTCTAGCCTCTCCCCGTCGCCGATAAATTCCTAGACGTATCCCTTCCTATACAAGAAACTACTGAACCCGCGGAGCTTCAACAACTCCAGGGCCAAGAACCAAATTGTCGTAGTCCTCTAACGAGGATTTAAGCGGAGCTGAACCTGGAAACTGTCCAGCCTACACCACGACCATCTTTGGTGTAAGGAAACAATCTTTAAATCAACCATTACGCGTCCGTAACTAATTCTAGCTTGCCACCGGGTCTCTCTGACCCCGCGTGCCCGGGCTGCTGGCCACAGCCCGTGTGCGCAAAGACGGGTCAGCATATCGCTCCCGGCCCGCTCATGGCGACATGGATGTGAGCGGGAGGCGGCCCGCACACTAATTAACTACAAAGTTGACTAATTTACTGTGCAATCTCTGCACGTGTAGATAGTAATGCTTTACCATGCAGTTAGTCAACTGCACAGTAAAGCATGTCATGTAGACTCATGCAGAGGTTCAGTAACAGAACTCATTGCTCCAGCAGTTAGGAAAAGTACCTCTGCTGTGCATCTACCATACTAAAGCAGTAAAGTTAGTATGAGTTTTCACACCTGGTCAACTAGGTGATTTTCATAACTAAGGGCAACTGTACCTTAAGCTGTGTCTGACCCAGGTACCCAAAAGGGGGCTCACTTTGCTTATCTTTACATTAATTTTGTCCTCTTTAGATTCTCCTGCTCCATCCTCTGCCTGGAAGTTCATTGGAGGAATTCTGGGGATCCTCTGCCTAATGCTACTGGGAACAGCAGTAGCCTTTGTCTTCTTATGTGAGTATTCTGCAGGAATAAAAGTAGGGGCCTTATTTACTCTTGTATGAATCCATTTTTTTGTCAATCTCCGTTCACTGATACTAATGTAAAGAATGGTAAATCGCATGCTAACGATTTTATAACTTTTATACGTATTTCAGGAAGGTTTTTCCATTCATGTTTAGGAATACGATTTACAACTTCTGATTTATTAAAGGAATATTGGAAAATATAGTAAAAGCTATCACTGTTAAAAAATTCGTTTCACAAGGACAGAAAGCAATATCATAATTCCAGCTCAATTTCCGTCACGTTCAAAAGTTATTTCAATTTGTTTTGTTTTAACTGGCATTATCTGTTGTTCTATTATTGTCAATGCAAGTTTTCCAGGAATGCAAACCATGTGAAAGCCAGAGAAACTGTATCCATCAGGAAAGATCTACCCTTCATCAGGGAATAACTCAATATCAAAAAGCGTACACCACTCCCACTCCCAGAGGTAAACATTTTGGTGGAATTTGATGTCTTACTTATTTAGCTCCCCTCCTGGTTGATTAAAAAAATGATACACTGATGGTATGAGACATTTTGTATATCTCATATTATTGCAAAATGGAGGTCTCAATAACAGACCAATCTTAAAATTTTGAGTGAGCATTATAGGGAATGTTAGAAAAAATAGCTTTACTGACTATACTGACATTGAAACAAAGAGAACCAGAGCTCATCTGATTCTCATGCACTTACTGCTTCCTCAATGGCTTAAGAAAAAAAAAAAATACAACCTTTGTTCATTTTACTCAGCTACTCAGTGCCAGGTAGGAAGAGATGTGTAAGAGCTCCCCACACCTGTACTCCGCTGCTGCTTGTATTGTGCAGACCAAGATGGGAAACAACTTAAAGAATAGCGCATGGAAACCTTTACAAGCAGTTCTTGGACTTAAAACACAATTGGTTCCTGAAAACCGTAATAAGTCGAAACATTGTAATTTGGAACCAATTTTCTCATAAGAAACAATGTTATAAGTGGCCCAATAATGAACCAAGGCCTGATACCCTGTTTTCTCAAAAAATACCCCCAAATTTTGTACTCGATCAATTATAGATGAGTAATATAGCTACATTAATATATTTATATTGTAAATAGCAATCATATTGATTTGGAAGGACTTCTTTGAGGTGACTTTACTGGACTTTTTGAAAAGCTCTTGGTTGGACTTTTTGAAGGGTTTTCGGCTAGAGTCTTCTCAGGAGTCTTGGCTGCAGGGTTTTCTGGAGTCTTTTCTGCTTTCTTAAAGAAGGTGTCCAAGGAAGTTTGGACAGATGTTCTCCTGGGAGATGAGTGATGCAGCAAACTTGTTCACTGGTGTGGCATCACATTGGATCAAAAGCTGTAAAGTCAAAACTGACATCATAAAGTTGAAACAGGGTGTCAATTTATAAATGTTGTAAGTGTGAAACGTTGTAACTCGAAATGTTGTAAATCGAGGACTGCCTGTAGTTAGCATGATCACATCACACTATTAGCTTGAAACACAGAGATTTACCTGAACGTCAGTGGGTAGTCATGTTGCCCACCACAGCAGGACAGCTGGATAACAGAAGTTGCAGTAAATTAAATTCAAATAATAAAAAATACCATAGAGAGCAAGAATATAAGCAATTAATTAGTATAAGGCCAGATTCTATTCTCTGCATTGGGTATCTAAGTGGACTTAGGCACCTAAGTGCAATTCTGTTTCACACTACCCTTGTCCATAGAAGTTCTTTCTAGCATTTGCTTATGTAACACACTGTCATCTTACTCCTAAGACTGCATCACAAAAAGACAGCAAGAAGGCGTGCGACCCATCCATATTTTCATTAACTTTTGCAGGAACTCAGGCAGTGTGGAATAGAATCATGCTTATGCAGCTACATCCATGCATACAGCGTGTAGGTAAAATAGGATTTGGCCTTTAATGCTCCACTTACATGGGATGTGGGAACAAAAGTGAGTTGGACCAACATCAGTCAGGTGGATTTCTCCAACTCTTTAGCTATGGAAGACAGCAACACTTTTCCAGCAACACACAGAAGTACTTCTGTCTGTTCTGGAGGGGTATAGAATTAGTAATACTTAATGGGGATGTTGAGGTGGTTTCTGTGAGGACCAGACTATGAGAAATCTAAGCTTGCCTATGGACTGGATGTCTGTCAACAGCTAAACCACACACATACACTCTTCAGGATGGAGATTGTAGTGTTCAACAACCAAAGTACAGGTCTGTATCAGGCAGGGGAGGTACAGGGATCTCTCTTTGCTGCAGGTCTCTGTCAGGGAGGACAGAAATTAGTCATAACCAAGCTGTAGCACAGCTACGGGTGGGTGAGAGGGACACCCACCCCAGGCATCAAGATAGAAGGGGAACTGGAATCGCCCCTTAACCCTGCAGCATCTGTGCCCCAGGAGCTTACCCATGCCAGGAATTCCAGTTCAGTTCCCAGATGCTGCTGTTGCTGCTTTAAGAGCGACAGCTGGGCCTGGCAGAGTGCATGGCTGTGGCATCAGCAGCAGCTCAGCCAGGGACTGTTTAGGAGTTGCCAGCATGGGTAAGACTGCTTCTCCCTGTGCCCATGCACCCTGCAGCTCTTGGAATCGCATGTGTTCCCCTCACCCCCCACACTCTTGGAACCTGCACATGCTCCCTGGGTTTCACTCATGAACCATGAACCCCCACAGTATTTGTCCCAGGTGTAAACTTTGCTTGTTATGCACTGCAGGCAGGTTGAATCTTCTTCAATTCAACACAAGGGGCACATGCACAAGTCATGAAATGACACCTGCCCTAGCCATCTGGGATTATGTTGCACACATCAGCACACAAAAATTAAGTTCTCAAAAGAGTATAACTGTGTTTTTTTTTCTGAAGGGGATAAAACCAGTTCATGTCCAGAGAAATGGGAACCACATGGACACTTCTGTTACCTCTTCACTAATGACTGGAAATCCTGGCAAGAGAGTAAAGATTATTGTACTTCTTTGGACTCCAAACTCCTTGACATCAAAAACAAGGAAGAACTGGTGAGTACTTTGCCTTTGCTCCCCAGAACCGGCCTCAGAGTTTGTGGCTGGGGCTGCAGTGCAAAGGTTTGGCAATGCCCTCTTTCAGGATGTAGCCAGGTTCTTCCCACCGTGGTGGCAGCAGATCAGGAATAGCTCAGCCAAGGACTGGGAGTGGGTTAGCAGCATGGTTCTTTGGGTGAATCCCAATAGCATAGGTTCCTTTTCCATAGCCTGCATGTGAACATGGGAAAAAATCTTTATGTTTTTCCTTCCTAAGGTCTGGAGCCCAGTTACTGGTTCCCTCCAAACCTACTGTTCACTTTTATGGGGTTTTGTACTCTCTTGGTGGTTTCAAGGTTCTCTGGGTAGAAAACTACTACTAATAAAAAGGGCCAAATATTGTCCCTTCTTTTATGGCTTTACATACCACAGCAAACTTGGCAAAGAATTATTCGTCTAGGAACGGCACAAAAAAGGATGTTCCTGCACATTGGAATAAATTTGCCAGGCTCTAAAGGGTAGTGAACACTTTGCAACCAATTCACAAATGTAGTTCTTATGTTCAGCAGTAGAGATAGATCTGGTGTCAGATTATTGTTTCATCAGTTCAATCCTTAAACTCCTCCTCATTACATTTTTCTGTTTAATTATCTGTCACTACACTAAGAGGGTTCCTCTCAACATAGCAAAAAAATATGGCATGTGCTGAATTTTAACAAATTACCCATAAAAGCTATATTAAAACTGTATTATTAAGACTTCCAAGTCAAGCATTCAAAAGTCAAGAAATACTAGAATGATGGCCTCAACAACCTTTATTCTCTGTTGCTTGAGAGTACACATTATGGTACAAACTTTATGATCACATTCCATTTTTTGCCAACTTCCCTCTTTCACTGTGCACAGTGAATGGCATTCATCTGATGAACAACTATACAGTATCTCTTTTATCCTGAGTTATTAATAGGTGGCATCATGTCGTCTTTACTGGGCACTATTCAAACCCTTCCCTGAAGGTCAATTAAAAAAATATAGCATGGCCAAATATATCTGAAACACAAACCAGCCCTCTGGCAAATTTCAAGTCCCTGTTGTCTAATAAATGGCAGAGTCAAGTTTCCCAGAGTTTCTTTTCAGCATTCTGTTACAAATGGGCAAAATTATGTATTTTGCTCAGTTTTGTTCTAGAAATGAGCTGAACTGTTTTCGCCACAGTTTAGAAAGAGAGAAAAAATTACCCCTACATAAACTGCCTTGTAAAATTTCAGCCCACACAGTAAAAGTTTGGCAAATGAAAAATAGGATTTTCATAGTTGGTAGGGTCGGAAGGGACCTGAGCAGATCATCAAGTCCAACCCCCTGCCATGGCAGGAAAGAGTACTGGGGTCAAACGACCCCAGCAAGGTGTTCATCCAGCCTCCTCTTAAAGACCCCCAGGGTAGGAGCCAGCACCACTTCTCTTGGAAGTTGGTTCAAGGTCCTAGCCGCCCTGACTGAAGTAGTCCCTCCTGAATTTTATTGGTTTATAACGGTATATTATATGCAGCATTCCAGCCAGTCAATAAGCTTTGGACAGATTTTGCATTCTAGAAAAAAGGTGTGAGCAGAAGTGCTAACCCTGACTGATCTAACTAAATGAGATATGAAAGGGTCAGCACTGCTCAGCGTTGTGCAAGATCTCTGGGCTGGATCATTCCACTCTCCCGCTCCGTGGGCCCAGGAGCCTGATCCAAAGCTACTCAAAAACAATAACAAGACTTGCACTGATCTCACTGGGCTTCGGATTATACCCCAAGCCAGCAAAGCCTTCCCATGGGGAGTGGCCATGAGGTACCCCAGAGAGAATCATTCATATCTCTGGACAACAAATCCTGCCCCTCACTAAGAAGAAGCAGTGACAGGATCTGAAGGTAACCCCAGGCAGTGCCCTCATTTGGAAAGAAAAGCTGGAGTTGACCTAAGAGGAGATAAAAGAACTAAGTTGCCACAAAAAACACCCCTCAGCCACAGGGGCCTTCCAAATACACACACGAGTGGAAGAAAAGGTTTGAAGGGTGGGGTGAGGTGAACTGAATTGGCTTTGTTCCCATTCAGGAGTTTTCCAAATCACAATTACATGTTCCTCACTGGATTGGACTATCTCAACAGGAAGGCAGTGAGCCCTGGCTGTGGGAGGATGGCACAGCTTTCTCCAAAGACCTGTAAGTGCCTTGTGTCATGAGGAAGGATTTGCTTTTATTTGAACTAATTGTGCACTTTCCACAGTCAGTGGTTTGAATAATGGTGCTTTATGTCACAGCCCTCCCAGGAGAAATGTGCAGTTGCATGGCCCTAAACAGAAATACAGATTCTGCTATAGGGAAGAGGTGGGCTGGTGGAGGAAGAGGATCCTCTTTGTACACCCCAAAGTGGGAAGGCAAATAAAATTTCCTCCAGCAAGGAGGGGTACTTTGCTGTATCTGGTGTCTCTCTTTCCCATAGAAGTTTTTAGTATTTTTCCTTCTATTATTCCTCAGTGCTGGCCAAGGGAAGGAAAGTGCAGTCTCTCGTCTGTGAGAGGGGGAGTGAGGCACATTGAGAGGGTTGGTGGGAAAGGGCCATAGGCAGGTAGAGCCAGGGCTTCTGCAAGTCATGAATAGCATGTCCTGAATGGATGCTGGCAGAGCTGTGACAGGAAGCTGACCTGCTCTGTCCAGGTGTTGCCAGTGATTTTTGAACCTGAGTTTCATGAAAGACAGACTCATTCACAAATTGCTTTAGACATGACATATACTTTAAATGCCAGCCCAGCAGCCAATCCCACAAGAAGCACCACTGCTGAGGACTGGAGGTGGGATTAGCAGGCAGTAATATCTCTCTCTCCATCCTAGGTTTGCAGTAGCCCAAGGGACAACCCCAGGGTGCTGTGTGCTTCTCTCTAAAGTAGAAGCCAAATGCGTTTCTTGTGAGGAGCCGTACTCCTGGATTTGCAAGAAGGAGGCTGTGCATCCAGAACCTGCTGCTCTGGCAGAAGGAAGGAAGAAAAGCCGCTAGAATATATTCCTGCTCCATTCCAAGTCCTGGCCACATACAGAGCCCCAAGGTTGTCCCCGCCATCTATCTAACATTCACTGCTGCTGCCAGTGTCAGTTGTTCCAAATGCTTAGCTGTGGCATGGGAAATGCTGATGAGTTGTGGGATGAAGATGGGGCTTGATTATTGTCCTTCATGTGATAAACCACTTGACTGGAGGAGGGAACAGTAGTCTGAACTTTCTCACTTGTCTCTAGCAGCCCTAAGCTGGAGTCTGGTTAGCTATGAGGCTGGAAGGCCTTGTTTCTTGTTGCAATCCACCTCAACATTTCTAGGACCACTTGCCTTAAGGGAGTGATTTTCAGCCTCTGGTCTGTGGACTCCTGGGGTCCACAGACTCTAAGGGGTCCATGAAAGATGACTATGATCAATCAAAAGTATGTGAATACCTACGCTTACAATTCAAAGGGGTCCACACCTCCGTTCAAAATTTCCAAAGGCATCCTCAAATGAAAAAAGGTTGAAACCATTGCCTAAAGAGAGCAGCCATTTTGTTTCCAGAAATCACACACACACACACACCCTCCTCCTTCATCCACAAGAAGGAGTGGCATCACCAGCGCCTCCACAATGTGCAGTCGTCTCGGCACATATGCCCTCTCTCCAGTGCTGCTCCTTTGCAACCACCTAGATCACAGTAGATTAGGAGGCTGTGGCAAACCACTGGTCTGTGCCAATCTCCTGATTATCATAGCTCATAAAGGTGGGCCTCGTTTCTTCACACTGCTGCTGTCATGGGGACTCCACACTGTGCCCTCTCAGGGAGATTTCATCGTGCTCTTCCTTGCTTATTATTCTTCTCAAATAAAAGACCTCTGACATTTAAAGTTTCTGGCTGCTCTTTGTGTCAGAAAAACCGTAGAATAAGCAACTGCCTCTCCCATTTCTGTTTAATGAGACTGCAGAATATTGGCAAATTACCTCAGGATAATTAGTATTTACTCAAACTGTGTGACTTAGACAAGGGGTCTAAAACTCATCGAGCCTTGTGGCCTAGATAAGGGTTGTTGGGTCAATCTGCAGACCAAACAAGGACTGATCAACCATGCAGTGCTCACAGCACCAAGTCAAGCCTATGCACCACACACAACATGCGTCGGCCCCAGGACTTGTGCTACAGCAACTTAAAATTCACGGGGGTCTACATGTGATCATCTGGTACATCGCCATAGTGGCACACTGCCTGGATATAGTGCACTGCTACAGTGACATAGCTAGTGAATTTAATCATGTGCTGCCCATATGCTACAGTATGGGGTGCTACTGTACCATTTTTTAATACTTCCCCCAAGCAAGCACTAAAACATGGCCCAGTGCTAACATCACTGTATGACGACATGTAGACATGTCCAGAAAGAGCTAAATTGCAGAAGCAAGATACCAGTGTACAGAGGACTTGTACTGGGTGGATTGGTGGATATGGGCTTGGGCTGTATTAGAGTAAATACTTACATAATCAACAGGACTAAGAAATACAAAGCTAAAATACTGTGGGCACATCTACACATACATTTAAGTGAGACTAAATGTAATGTGCATTAAGCTAATGCACATTAAGCAATTTTTGGCAGGTGTCTACATGTGCAGGGACTTGGCAGTAAAGTTTATGTCAAATCCCTGCAGCCCTGCCACATGCCCCTAGTGGCTGGGCAGAACCGGCACTAAAATTAGTGCTGGGTCACATCTAAATGTGCGTTAATACACTTTAACTAATCATGGTATCACAGGCTGGGGTCCTTAAGGATGGCTGTAATCTCTCCAAGGACCTTTTACCATGCCAAGTTGGCCCAATGGGCACCCTCTGTTCTCGCCCGCCATGTCTTTGATGGAATGATTAATAGGGAGGCTGCCTTTAAGTCCTCTCGGACACGGTTTTTATTGATTCTCTGGACCCCATGGGTTCCCAGACCCCTGGTGCATCCCGCTTCAAAATAGATGTCATGATGGGTGTTTCGGGGCACCCTAGCCTTATGGGCTATGCATGGCTCCAACCATCCCTTTACCCCCCCCCAAGCCTCACAGATGGTACCGACATTGTCCGGTCTGGACCTTGTTGTAATTTGGCCCCCTTGTCCTCCCTGGGCTCTCCGCAGCCCTGCCTCGCTCTGCGCCTCACTGGCGCTGGGGCTCTGTGCACCCCAAATGCCGCGCCCTCTCTGGCGCCAAAGTCTGTGCACCCCAATGAGGCCTCCTCCTTCTCCTAATAGCCTCACCCAAACCACTGGTCTTATACAACAGCAAACAAAATGCAAGCCCCTGGGCTATAACATCATTCAAGCCACACTGGGGGTACTCCATCTCTCAACAGTATCAGAAGCTGTACCTGCAGTCAGGCCTCTCCCCTTTGCTTGCTCCAGGAGAGCTCCTTCCCCCTTGGCTGCTGGCAGGGAACTGCCTTCCTGGCCTCAGCCCTGGGGTTTATATATGAGCCAGGCCCTGCCCCTTCCGGTCAGCTGACTGCTGGCAGGTGTGGGCCACTAGCTTATTCTGGC